TATATTAGTTAATTTAAAAGATAAAAAAGAATGTAACTATAATAATTATAGCTATGCTGCTATTAAATTAGCTGCAGGATATATAGGGTTACTTTAACCTGCTTTAGAGGAGTAGTTAGCTCTTTAAATATAGTAAGGTAGACTTTATTTAGCTGGATAATTAATATAATTTTAATATAATAGATAATATATATAATAATAGTAAATTTAAGGGTATAACTACTGCCTGCATATATAGTGCTAGCCCTAATATTAAAAGTGCAGAAGCTAGCGACCTAATAAATAATGAGAATTTGCAAGATTGCAAAGACTTTAAAGATATAGTTAATTTACTGCAGGAGCCTATAGTGCTCTTTAATCTAGACTTATTTATAGCTTACGGCAAGGCGCATAGGTAGGGGCTGAGTGTAATTTAGCAAGTGGTTTGCTTTATGTTAAAACTGCTTGGTATATATAGAGGTATGCTAATGCTAACTTAGTTGCTGGATGGCACTGAGGTGGCACTTAATGCCTTTATTTTATTAATATATATCTAGATAGTAGAGCTATAGTACTTAAGCACTATAAAGGAGTAGAGGGTTAGGTAAATAATTAATAAGTATATTATACAGCTATTAATATTTATTTCTTTAACCCTGCCTATGTATATTAGCGCTGGGCAGGTTATTAAGCCTGCTATAGTAATAAAGAATATTAATATATAGTGTATACTTAGCTTAATTTTAATAAATATAAACTTTTACTATTTAATGTAGTATAATAATTATAATCTTAAGCTGTTAATAGATATAAATAGGTATAATGCTTTATTAGAGCAGGGGATGGCTAAGGGGAAGTTTTTTAAAGACTATAATAAAGGGAAGGGTAAGGCTATTAGCAAAGATATAGATAAAGATAAATATAAAAAGCTGCTGCCTGATGATAATAAAGAGAAGAGTAACTTACTGCCTAATATTATTATTAGCCTTATAACTGCTTAAACTATATACTGCAATGCTGTATAAAACGCAAAGATTAAGCTAACTCTAGCAGCTGGAACTGTAGAGATAAATGTAATAGTAATAAATGATAGGACTGGCGGCTTATAATAGTACTTTTATTTAACTTAACTGAATGGATTTATAGTATATTCTATAATATGCCTAATAATAGTTTAGTATATTACCTATAAAAGTTTAAAAATTACTTATATAGTAATAAGGGTTTTAGAACTGCAGAGGGAAAATAAGCATATGCTTATATACTATAATAATCTATTAACAGTGGTGTAAGTAATCTTAACCCCTTAGATCTATAGTCTAAAAGAGTATAAGAAGTGCAATGGCAAGCTATTTTAATTTATAAATTAAAACCGCTAAGCGGCCCCCCCCCCCCCCTTCCTTCTTTTATTCAGTCTAAGCTATAAATTAAAAAAGGCCCTACCCCTACTTTATTATTATTATTAAGTGCCTATTAATAGGTTTATTAATATAAAATAATCTTAGCCTTATTAGTATACATTAGCGTTAATATAAAGGTTATTTAATTGAGCTATACTTAAGGAGAATAAGATAAAGTATAATAAGATTTTAAAGATAAAAACAGCAGCATTAATTATTTAGTTATATTAATAGCGTTATTAATATTTAGGGTAAACTATTATATTAATTATAGCTATGGCATTATATTGGAGTTCTTGCGCAATATAAATACTATATTGCAGGCAATTGGTTGTCTATAGCGCCTAAGATCTCCTGCTATTATCTACTGGAATATTTTATGTATAAGAGGTATATATAATTTTAAATAGGAGTTTAAGCTTATAGGCAAGTATGTTAATATTATGGCAGCTGAGGCTTAGATTAGCAATAAAATTAGAGGTTAGCAGAGATATTTTATTAATTATAAGCTGTTAAGGGTTTACTTTAGGCAAAAAGTAAATAAATATCCCTGTTTAAAGGTACTGTAGGATAAGTGTAACTATAAGGCTATTTATAAAAAGAGCTAGTTTTATAGCGCTTTAGTAAGGTTTATAATTGCTAATCTTTAATACTTTAATTAATGTAATAAGAAGAGGATTAAATAGGTTGCCTTAAGTTAGGTAGTCGGCACTGAACTTACAGTAGACTAGGTTTTAGGGCTGTAATTTATTAAGGGCGGGATTATTATTAGTAACTTTTTATAAAAGTAATTTAATAGGGATAAATAAACTATAATGCCTTTTAGTGGAAACTATAAGGGCGGATAGAGCATGGGGATTACATTAACCCTAGAAATACCTACTAGGCAAGGCTTTAACCCTGGCTTTTTATTAAAACAGCAGGGTATTATAGTGCTGGTGAGTTATAAGTGCTTGTATAAGGAGAGAGTTAGGAAGAGTAATGTAAAGGATATAATTTAAAGGGGGCGGAGCAGGGGGTGGGAGATTGTTAGGGGGGCGCTGGATAGTAGAGAGTATATAATCTTACTTTTTATTTATAGACTGTAGATAATTATTTAGCTTTATATAAGAATATATTAAATATAATAATATATATTAAAGAGCTATAGCTATTTATGTCTGCGCTTATTATAACTATATATTTATAAAGCGCTGCTGCTGTTTTTAATCTATAGGTTAAAGATAGGATAGTTAAGGCGTAGACTATAGATTAAAAAGGCCTATAATAAAAATAAATATACTAAATAGCTATAGTCTTCTATTATATAGATTATACTTTAACATTTTATATACTAACTATCTAAAGTTAGTTATAGGGTTTATTAATTTATTGGTTATTTAATTATAATAATCTGCCGATTGCTAGTAAATTGCTAATATATATAAACTATATAAAGTTAAATAATACAACCTAAAATAACTATTATAATTAATTTATTCTAAACTTAAATAGGGTCTATTAGCTTAGGTTAACCTACCTTAATCTATATACTTATAATTTATAGCTTATTAAATATATAACTTTACAGCAAATGTTATTTAATTATATTATAGTATGCTAGAGTCCTATATATAGTATACCCTGGTTAAATATAATAATATTTTCATTAAATGTTAGGCTATATAACTTAAGCTAGGGTTACTTTTTTATAAGTATAGTGTAGTTGTGCTGCTTGCTAAAGTCTTAAATTTTATTTTCTTATTAATATATTTATATTGCTAAATTTACCTCTACTGCTATTACCTTGCTTTTATTTATTAACTTTTACTTTATTTTCTTTAGTTTTAAGCATATACTTATTAAATATTTATTTTATTAATAGAATTAAATAATTATCTTTATCTAGGTTAATATAGAAGTTTTTATATAATACTATAGGGCCCTGGCCTATATAGGTTGCTGTATTTGCCCTGCCTGATATTGCCTTTAGTAAATAGTACTATACTCTATAAAATATTAAAAGTTAAATTACTTACTTTCTCTTTAAAAATGCAGGTAGATGTTATTAGCAGGCCAATGGCAAGCAGCAGCCTAGACTATTAAGCTATCTTTCTTTACTTTAGGTATATATTATATATATTACTTGCTGTATATATATTAGTAATACCTAGCTTTTATCTATAGCCTGACTGATAGCAAGCAGCAGCCTGGACTGTTAAACTATCTTTTTTTACTTTAGGTATGTATTATATATATTATTTACTGCATATACATCAGTAATACCTGGCTTTTATTTATAGCCTGACTAATGGCAAGCAGCAGCCTAGACTATTAAGCTATCTTTCTTTACTCTGGGTATATATTATATATATTACTTGCTGTATATGCATCAGTAATACCTGGCTTTTATCTATGGCCTGACTGACAGTAAGCAGCAGCCTGGACTGTTAAGCTATCTCTTTTTACTTTAGGTATACATTATATATATTATTTACTATATATACACCAGTAATACCTGGCTTTATTATATAGCAGTAGTATTATTTCTAGAGTAGCTTATTAAGCAGCAGCAGTAGAACTTTAACTTATTTAATTTATGCTTTTATCTATAACCTTAAGCTATTATTATATTTAGTCTTACTTAAGCTAAAGAACTTATGCTATAAGCTAATAGTCTATAGCCCTTTATTTTATTCTATGCCTAAGGGTAAAAGACTTAATACTATATATAATAGCATTAATACTATTAGTAATATTACTATTAATAATAATAGTTTACCTGCTCTCCCCTATTTTATAATTTATTTACTTAAGGATCTTAAAGTAAATATTATTTACTAGGGAGATATTAAATAAAGTAGTAATAATTATTAGTAATGCGCCAGCAGCCTGATGTTTAATATAAATATAGACTGTGTGTTTAATACAGCGCTATTTAAACTTAACTGTATAATTTATTTTAAATATATTAAGGCTAAGAAAAAAAAACAATAAGTTTTTATATTTATATACCTAAAGTTAATCTAGTCTATTTTACTAAAGTTAAACATCTAGATACTAATGTCTGCTGTCTTTCTTTAGATATTGTGACGTCCTGGCCTATACTATCATACTTAGGTATAGGGTAGGTTCCCAATCTATAAACTCAACGTCGGGTTTATGTTGGCAGAGAGATAAGTTGGAGTCTTATAAGCAATGCAGTCACATAGCTAACGAGGTTATAAATAACCAATCTAATTATTATCTAAGAGTGCTATATTAACGACTGACTATTTAAATTCTATTTAATAAGCATAATAAACGGTTTTTATATAGTAAGTCATTCTAAATAGCTCACAGTTAAATCACTCTTGCATAGGCTTACAATGGCTCACTTAATGATCTAACAGGGATGTCTGTAAACTATAATCCTTTTGTAATTGGTCCATCGGTCCATAGTTACTCCTAAAGTACATACTCTTGCTTAGCTAATGTACAAACAAATATTCAGGTCATAATACAATACCCCCTCTTCATTAGTCTTATCCTCAAGGCCTATAAAAAGGCCCTTCCTGCATTAGCTTACTAAGGTAATTTTTCTTTCGGACTCCTTTTGTAATTTTTATAATGCCTAACTGTATGTCTAAACCAGTATCCTAGAAAACACACAAGCGCCTTTCTTTAGCTGCTATTATTAAGGAATTGGGATTTCTTATAATGGCTTATTCTTTCTGTAAATATTATAGTATAGGCGACTGTTGCAAAATAATGGATGGTGTAATACATTGCAAGAAGTATATGCATTGCAGTCATTCTTATGACGGGACAGGTGTTCTATTGTCAGCTTATGAGTTTATTTTCTAAAATAATAATGTCTTATTGTTCTAACAATATAGTAAATTATATAACTTCTAAGCATAAATAATTACATTTAAAAGAAAAGGAGGCTGCTAAGCAGCTTGCTAAGTATTAGCAAAAAGCCGCTGAAGCCTTGTCTTAGTTATTGCATATCCATTCTTAACGTAAATCTTTAGTGACTTAAGGGGCAGAGATAGTGAATTGCGGCCTGAAGAGTCTTAATAAATTAAATAAGGCAGAGCGTGCTAAGTCAGAGGTAGTGATTGATGTTTAGCTTAGCGGGGGTGTTGACGTAATCGATTAGAACGCTGTACTAGCTAATTTTAATCCATTAACCTTATAGACTAAAGGAACTTCTTTATTAGTTTATAGGAGTTAAAGTATTCTTTTAGTTCCTATAAGTTTTCTAATTTTAAATATCCTTTCCATTTAATAAAGTACTCTATTTTATTAGTCTTAGAGTTCTAGCATATAGCAAGTACTTCTTTAATTTCATATTCTTCTTCTTTATCTTCAACAATAATTTCATCTAAAATAGGTCTTCCCGTAAGTTCATTAACTTATGCTTTTTCTAGTTATAATATATAAAACACTAGGCTTTAAAGCTTTATTATATCTGGCAACGCTAGCTTGTAATTAACTTCTTTAATTTATTTAAGGATTTCATAAGGTTCTATTTTTCTGACGTTTAACTTATCACTTGGCCTATTGATTTTAATATTTAGCAATTTATGGCCTCGTAAGTGCTGTAACAGGTAAACCATGTCTCCCTTCTAGAGAATTAGTCCTGCAATTCTATCTTAGTCTATGTATTTCCTTATTCTATCTTAGATAAATTTAAGTTACATATGTATTTCTTCATGCAAATTGATTATTAATTCTGCTTGCAGTCTTGCTTTTTTGGAGTTAGGTCCTTCTTATAGTGGTCTAAATGCTTCTGGTGTAAATCTATAGTTTACATAGAACAGTGTAATTCCTGTGGATTTTAAAGGTATGCTGTTGTAACAGTATTATACTACTGGTAATTTTTCTACCCAATTATCTTGTGTAAAGTTAATGTAGCATCTTAAGTATACTTTAATAATCTAATTAATGCATTCTATTTGTCCATCTGTTTAAGGGTAGTATGCAGTACTTAATTTATGGTTTATTCTTAGTTTAGCCATAAGTTCCTGCTAAAATTTAAAGGCAAATGTTCATCCTCTATCCAATATTATTTCTTTCAGTAGTCTATAATTTACAGCAATTATTTTCATGTAGGTATAAGCAAGGTCTTCTGCTATATGTAATTTATTATACAGCAAGAAGTATACTTCTTTCAAAAAGCAACAGACTACTACAAAGATACTATTATATTTTACCTTTATAAAGGGTTTAGTAAAAAGGGGTAGGTTAGTAATGTAGTTAAATATCACTAATTCCTATAGTCGTTCTGCTACTGGCAGCAGTTATAGTTTCCTATATAGTTTATGTCTTCTGTCTTTTATCTATTAGCATACGCTGCAGTGTAATACAATATATTAAACATATGCTTTAAGTCCAATTACTTTATAGTATATAAGGACTTAATTGTATGTTTTCCATATCCCTTTATATCTATACAGCAGGTGCTTGTAAATGTATTTTACTACATCCCTTCTTAACTCTTTAGGTACCTAAATCTTTCCTTTACGTTTAAGGTATCCTTCTTCTATAGTTACTCTTTCTAGATATTCCTTATTCTTATGATTTTTTACATATTCTTTAATTTTATTAAGCATTAGGTCTTCTTTAAGTACTTTAAACATTGCATAAATATATACTTGCTTAATATTTCTTTTATCATTATAGCATAGTACTTATGCTGTAAATTCCAGTATGTTTTATTTATAATTACTTCTTCTGCTTAATGCATTAGCTCTTCTATTTTCCATGCCTTTACAATAAATAAGTTCATAATCAAATTATAACAGAAATTCAAAGTATCTAACTTATCAGCTGGAGAGCTCTCTAGTAGTAATAAAGTATAAAATATTCTTATAATTAGTATAGACAGTAATCTTATGTTCACTTCTATAGCAATAATATCTCCATTCTTTAAATACTTATAATATAGCATACATTTCTTTATCATAGGTGGGATATTGTAGCACTGGTCTATTAAGTTTATATAAAAAAAATACAACAGGTTTAAGTTTGCCGTTATCGCCTGGTTAACTTAAAACCCCTCTAATTGCAAAATTTAATGCATCAGTCTTAATTATAATAGGTTTCTTTAGGTCAAACATAGCGAGAATTGTCTTTAAAGTAATGGCCTTTTTAAGTTCTTTAAAGGCTTTTTACTATTCCTCCCCCTATTTAAAAGGTTTATCCTTTTTAGTCATATTAGTAAGCAGGATTGCTTTTAGCGAAAAGTCCTTAATAAATTTTCAGTAATAATTTACAAGTCTAAAGAATACTTATAATTCTTTAAGCATAGTCAGTACTGGCCACTCATCAATTGCTTTAACTTTATCAGGGTTTATATAAATTTCTTTAGGTGTAATAACATATCCTAGAAAGTCAACTTTCTAAGAATAAAATATACATTTTTTAGGGTTAATAAGGAATTTATTTTCTTTAAGCTTTTACAGTATAAAATAGATATATTTCTTATATTCTTCAAGGGTATCCAAAAAGATTAAAATATTGTCGATATATACAATTGCAAAATTATCTAAGTATAGTCCAAGCACATGGTTTATTCTTTTCTAGAAGGATGCAGGTATATTTATAAGTCCCTGTAGCATAACAACATATTTATATAATCCATATCTTATTGCAAATACAGTCATCCATTCATGTCCTTCCTTTATTCTAGTAAGCTCATAAGCTCCTGTAAGGTCAAGAGTTATAAACTATTTTTTCCTATGCAGTCTATTTTTAATTTATAAAATTAAGGGTAGCAGGGTTTTATCTTTAATAGTTATTTTATTTAACTCCCTATAATTAATAATTAACTATAGTTTATTATTTTTCTTTAGTATAAAGATAATAAGGTATTTAACTAAGGATTTAAAGATTTAGATATATCTCTTTTTAAGTTATACTTTAATCTATTCTTTAAGGGTTTTAAGTTCTATTTCGCTGAGATTATAAATCTTATAAAACTTTAAAGAGGCTCTATCTTTTAAGACTATCTTATAGTCCCATTCTAAATATAGTAGAAGTCCTTCTTTTAATCATTCTTCAAAGAGTTTTCTATACTTCCTATATTATTTTAAAACTTATGCTAGTAGATCATTAGATTATTTAATTTTCTTAAGTTCTTGGTCCAGTAGCATTAATTCTCGGCATAAAATAGCAATATATTTTTACATTCTTTATTTTAATGTCTTCCTTCTTTTCTCAATATATTAAGGAGGTGTTATAGTAGGCTTAAGGAAAATCTTAAGCTTCTGGCTACCTGATTTCCTTTCTTCTGGAATTTTATTATTTCGCCAACAAATCTGGCCGGTTTCCCAGTCTATATTAGGATTATATTTGCTTAACCAGGGTATCCCTAGAATAAGGTTATATTATAGGATATTAGCTATATTGCATACAGTTTTAGTAATGCAATTTTTAATATTTATTAATAGGTAATCAGTCCGTTGTTTAATCCATCCATCATTGTAAAGGAAGTGCACTCCCTCTATATATTATAACTAATACTTTCTCTTTTTCTTATATGCTGGCAACTGCAGGCATATTGCAGTTATAGCAGACATATAGTTACATTACAACCCACTGTCTATTAGAACTATAAGAGGCTCCCTATCTAAAAATACATCATACAATATTTTTTTAAATATTCTTTTTTCTTCTTCCTCACTGTTATATTCATTATCTAGTTCAAGAGACATAATATATTTTAAGTCTTCCTATTGCCCTTTTATAGAAGACCGTCTACGTTTTTTAAATTATATCAGTTTAAAATCTTAATTTCCGCATGTCATGCATATTTTAGATTTTTGCAGTTAAAAAAATCAATTTCATTGCATTCTTCTCAGGCATCTTCTCTCTTATGCCATATAAAAAGTTTTCAAGCTTTATAATATTTGCAGAAGGCTTTTTTATAGGCTTCTGTAAACTCATTTAGTTTTATGCATTCTCCTTCTCCTAGGATGACTACCTTAAGGGATTTAAACCTTCACTTAACATTCTATAATAAGAAGCGCATGCAAGAGTGTATATGGGTGACAGGAAGAAATGGGATCCTAATAGGAAAGGTATTGTGCTTCCTTTTGTCATTAAAATGTTCCATACATTAATGTATAATACAGTTAACCCAGCTAATACAATAGTGTCCTAGATAGTCTGGATTAATACAATTAACATCCCTGAATCTTCTTTTATAACTAAGGTTTTGTCGTAGGGCTTGGTCTAGTGTAACAGCTCGAAGGATAAGTTGTCCTTCTACTTCTTGCTGTTAAAGTTCAGATAACCATCTATACAGAAACAAAGGAGTGTTGTTCTTAAAAGGTTCTTGGGCTTTAACAATGCAATTTTGAAATTTAAATAGTCAGTTAACTTCTGGGGTTGGGTTGTTATATTGTCTCCAGATGTCATCATTATGCTTATAGTTACATCTATAGTTTCGCCATTTAAAATCTTCATCTATCCCAGTATCTACTTCATCTGTATTTCTAGTTAATTAAAAGTCTTCCTAAGGGATTGTTTATCGGTTAGGTATTTTAAATTCTTCAGCTAGTGTATTAGAATTATCCGATAGTTTAGCTTTTAACTGATAGTAAGGGTATTTATTTTCTTCTTTAGCTATAAAGTCTCTTTCCATTATTAAGATAGTCTTGCTGTCTTTTTCCATAGTATAATTATCTTTTAGTGGTGGAATAGTAGACTTTTTAAGTAATCTGCAGTTTCTTGCTATATAGTTTAGCTTCCTATAATTATAACATTTAAAGTCTTTCTTTTTATTATCTTTCTAAATTATGCCGATGTCCATAGGTCCTGGAGTACCACTGTTGTCTTTAGCAATTTATTTATTA